TATCTGCCCAGTCATGCGATCGACAACGGCTATCTGTGCGCATTCATCGACGAGGTTCTCGCAGCTGCTCAGCGGTAGTGTGAGGTAGCGCGTGTTGTAGCTTGCAAGGGCAACGTAGATATAGATGACTAGCACCACCAGCCAACATGGCACCGCGAGCGCCCACCACCGGTTCGGGTAGTAGTGAATGCCCATCTGATGCAGCATCGGAGCTGGCACATAGGCCCAAAGAATATACATCAGGAACGCGGCGGAGCTCCCCAGGTACAGTGCAAAGCCGTAGTATTCGTATGTAGGCACTTTCGGCGAGGCCCGGGGTACCGTCGGCGCATGCCGTGCCGAGCTCGCGAGGTTCGTGGGTGTGCTTGTGCCTGTGGTATGCGAGCCAGCTCTAGTATACCCTTCAACATCCGACGAGTCTGGGGTTGTAGGTCTCGAGGTTGGGCGGCTGAAGGCGGGGCGAAGTAGCGAGGTCAATGATGGAGACGGCGGTAGCGGAGTGGGAGGCCTGTTGTAGAAGGGTGGAAACAGCGCAGTCGCCGTATGTCGCGGGAGGTGACTATATGATTTAGAAGTCTGTAGTGGTCGAGACGTGGGCGCTGGCTCCTCGTCGTCCTCTTCATCTTCGCTGACTACGTCCTCCACCATGAAAGGGTCCTCGTCTTCATCTTGGTTGTCCTCTACAGACGCCGCCTCAGAGAGAGCGCTATTCGATATTGGCGATAGAGGAGTTGCTCCTGGACGAGTCGCGGAGCGTGGAGGGGATGTTACCGTGCTGTCCTCGCGACTCTGCCCATCGAATGACGTCAGGGTAGGGAGATTAGGCGTAGATTTTGAGTAGAACCCCGAAGGAAGGGACTCCCCTCTACTGTGGGGTGGCATGTCGTTGAAGTGTGGTTTGGCGCGAAGTGAGCATAATGCATTGATCGCGTGCTTGAGCCTCTCAATTACGCGTTCGCGCTAGCGGAACCTTTCCGCACCTGGCAGCTATCAGCCCTGTGTAACAAAACCATCTCATCTCCAGCCCAACATCAAGTACACAGATGGCTCCAAAAGTCCCAACAACGGCTTCTCCAAGGACTCTGCAGCTAATGAAACTAAGAGGACGCGACACTTGCTTCCCTCAACAGACTCCGGTCGACTGATAAGACCCACGATCCGCAACCTGCACCTCCCTCTGGACGACAATCAATGCCATGAGCGCAGACTCCCTGCGAATCGGCCCATAATGGAGAGGCTTCAAGCGAGGCAATACCGATGGCGCTTCAATGTCTGTTCGGGCTGTCTTTGTCAGCATCGCTGCTATCGCGGCTTCCTCGTCCAGTCACTCACATCGCTGCCTAGCGCGACGTCTTCGCTGACGCAACAGACATGTAGCCATCAGGACGAACATTGGTATGCATGTTGCGAGAAGAGCGAGAACGGATATTGTGTTATCTTTTGACCAGGTCATCATAAGATGTGCGCGTTGGTGGGTGCATCAACGTCTTCGCCGGTCTATCATATATGCTGGGAAAGCAGATTCCTGCCATAGTCCTCATGTTCAGAATTGACGAAAGCAGCTGGTGTTTAGGATTTCAGCTTCGCGTCGTGATACAGATCAGGCTAGGTGTGGTGCAATCCCATTTGGCAGAGGCTGAGCGTGCCGAGATCCTGAATGTACGAGGCTACACACGTTAGAATCTCGAATCGACGAGGCTCAGCATGTCAGAATCTGATTTTGAACAGGCTGCATGTGGCGAAATCTCATTTGAGCAGGCGCAGTCGTTGCAGTTTCGACGAATCAACCACCGGTGTGAGCTTTAAACCAGATTCTGTTATATACATTGCATATATCGGTAAGTACTGCAGACACCATTGGTTAGGCATGCATGCACGATGTGGCTGAAATCGGATTTTGCCAACAGGACCCAGGGCTGGCAGGCGCCATTCACGTGATGCAGTCCCTCACGTATCCGACAAGTGCCCCGCTATCAGCCTGGTGTTCAAACATTCTTCTTCTTCGCATACCCAAATTCACCCTCATTTCGATGCCTCTGCGCGCGCCGACCACTTATGTTGGATAACAGTTAACTTCACCGAACGAAACGATGTCGGGGAAAAGAAAATCACCACGAATCCCAGAACGGATATGGGAGATGCACAAACCCAACATTCTGCGCCTGTATCTTTCAGAAAACAGGCCTTTAATAGCTCCTGGTGGAGTCCGAGACATAATGCGCACTGAGCACAATTTCTTGGCAAGGTAAGTCTATGATATACCACTGGTCACGATGCAGGTGGATGTAGGTTATGCTGACGTTCCAATAGCAAATCACAATACGAGACAACACTGAAGAGATGGAACTGCTATAAGTACACGTGCGCACAAAATCGACGCACCCAACAATCATTGCTTGATAGCCGAAGAGTGTATGGTCCACGACCGGACGATCAATCCCACAACCTTACGATAAGAATACCTTCTCCACATTGCTCTGTTCTGGAGTCCGCTCCACTCAATTTCCAGCCACCTGGAATCTCGTCATCGTTTTTGGCCAGGGGTTGGTGCGACATGTCATCAAACCCTTTGGCTAGTATCGCGATCCCATCTTCTACGTTTCGTCACGAGATTAAATCTTTGCTCCACGGGGACCCTGGATGGCCATCAAATGTACCTCTGGATGCAAATGACCTGTTCAACTCAGCACGGAGCTTTCGTGACAATGTTCCAGCACATGCGACGTACGTTTTGAATGTCCTTTCTGCACCAGATTTCGCGACTGCAATAATGCCAATAATCTCGGGCATATTCCTAAGAGTTACACCAACCGCTCACGTAGTCTTGCTCGGAGCTAGCACTGTAGTCGATACTGCAGTCAGGAACATCTCTCATCCAAACACACTGCGACTCGTTCGTGAACAAAGCATTGATCACCAGATCATCTACATCATCTTACATCATCTTGTCAACCACGAAGATATTGCTCTCACGCTTCGTAAGCCGACAACCAAGCTCGAGCACTTCTTGAAGAGGGGCGTGACTTACTGCTTTTCTCTTGGACCGAAGTTTCTCAGCAGTATCATCGAATCTACTCCACCACCCTGGAATGTGGCCCTGATACAGAACATGTTTCGTACAGCATTGTTCCTGGGGGATGGGCCGATATTGAACCTTATAATGGACCTTAGCCAAGAAGATCTGGTGAATCGGCTGGTCTTGCTTGAAGGCACTCATTATTATCCAGTACTGTACACGAGTTACTTTGGGCACGTTCAAGCAACACAAGTCCTCCTCGATCATGGCGCGGATCTCGACGTATTACAAAATCGTGATATTTTTGATTATATCGGATCGATGCCGTACTTCCAGAAGCCGAGCGCGGAAGTGAGACCCCAAATCCTGCGGCTATTGATAAGTCGCGGTTTCAAATTGGACATCGATGTAGTTCGATATCACATGCGGAGATGCAGCATGGATGAACTGCAGATAGTAATTACCTACTTCCTGGATGATAGCTTCCGAGTCTTCTTTGATAAGCGCAGCTTACCGTTGGTCGTGGATCGCGCGGACTGGGATGACTCATTCTCCGAGACATTGAGAGCCATCCTGAAACAAGCGTCAATTACTGCTATCCACCATCGAGAACTCTGGGACTCAGTATTGTCAGACACACTGTCGTGTGCGATATCACGCAATTATGCGTTCGCAATCGATATCTTACTTGGAACGGGGGCAACTATGAATCTCAGATGTATGATCAGCGCTGTTCGAAGTAACAATCTGAGAATTCTCGAAGATTGTTTGGATCGGGGTATAGACCCAAACATCAAGATTGACAGTCGCACTGCGTTGAGTGAAGCGATCAAAAGTCATTCCAGGGGACCAATGCAGATGCTCCAATCGCGGGGATCTATTTCTAAGCTGGCTTGTCAACCGTCCGGCTTTGTATCAGCCTTTACAGCAGCGTGTCAGATCGGTGACATTGCTCTTGTAGAATATCTCCTATCACTACAGACCTTCCCGTGGAATCTAGCTGGGATCACAGGGTCTCTGGAGGCTGCTCTAGAAAACAATCAACATCCCATTGTGGAGAAGTTGACCACGGCTGGAATTACGCCAACGATGCGGTGTTTTGAATTAGCAATTCAGAACAAGCAACTAGCAGCCTTCAAAATACTGGCCGATTGTACGGATTTATTCGCTATGCCACAGATGAAAGACCTTTACCAAAGGAACTTTACATACAGGGATGTAAACAAACTCTATGACAACGCTATCATGTTTGGAGCCTTACAGTGGGGCGATAGCACAGTCATCGAACATGTACTCGCCATGGAGTATCCTGTCGATGTGTTGTTCCAACTGAATCCCCGTCACTTCTCTGAGTGGGATTTGGCACTGAAATTGTACCCACCGGGATATGATTGGACTTGGTTTTTGACACCTCTTAGCGCCGCAATTTTGAAAGGCAACAGAACAGCAATGGACGCTTTGATGGCTCATGGTGTACAAGCTGTGTTCTTCAACTGCCAGCATGCATCATACCAGACTTCGTTCCTAACTGAGAAAGAGAGAAACGTGATAACATTGACGCCTCTTGCTGCTGGCGTAATAAGAAACGATATCCCTCTGGTGGAATCGCTGTTACGTCTCGGTGCAGATCCCTTCGACAACGGTGCTCTGTTCGTGTGCGCTGTAATCGACATGCCAGATATCGCCGCCCTGCTGCTTTTCGCCGTTAAGATTCGATACCCTGACGGCCAAAGATCTTTCGGTTGTGATGCCCTATACCAGATCGTACGTCGTAAAAATTTGCGGTTGCTTAAGCTTCTTGCAAACGAATACAACATCACGAGGCCGGTTCAGGAAGACTGCGGGCCAATGTTTATGCCTGATCGACGGCCTCAACCTAATACTGTATTCACCACTCCGATTGGTGAAGCAGTGCGTCTCTATGCTGAAAGCAACGGCGTTGACGAAGCGCTTGATTTTCTCTTGTCTCAAGCCCAGCACCACAATGCTATTGTATTCCGAGACTTACGTCGCGGTAACATGACTTGTGTACTCTACGCCATCTTTCTCAATTCTTTAAAGACAGTGCAGAAGCTCCATCAAAAGGGCGCGAGTATGTTCCCCCCAGCTCAAAGGAACATCCCCCGAACGCAACTCCAAGCTGCAGCAGAGGCGGGAAGCACAGAAATTGTTGAACACCTCCTGAACCAAGGAGTTAGTGCAAACGAGCCCCCCTCAAAACGGGCAGGGGCGACAGCCCTCCAGCTAGCTGCGATCACAGGAAACATCAACATCGCAACAATCTTGTTAAAGGCAGAGGCCGACATCAACGCCCCGCCAGCTTTTTTCAATGGCAGAACAGCGTTTGAAGGCGCCACGGAACACGGTCGTATCGAGATGATGATCTTTCTTGTGGGTGAAGGCGCCGATCTCCTTGCCAACAACAACGAACAATACCGACGCGCTATTGCATTTGCAGAACAAAACCGGCAATACGCTGCGAAATCTCTCGCAGATGACCTGTATGCAAAGGTCCTGGTGAGCCAACAAGCGGGTATCATTGGCATGGATGGAGAGTGGGTTGCACCTGATATGCCGGATTTCGGGAGCTTCTACTCATGAACATGGATTATTCCAATTGATTTCTTCACTTTTCCCTTACATTTAGCTTTCATAGTGGGTGGTGTAAGTTTGGACAATCTGGTACCACGTTGATCTTTCGTCGCGCTGGCGTTCCGAGCACTTTCTCCTGTCCCTCTAACACTGTTTCCAAGTAGATTTCCTTGCACTGGATAGTAATCGTGACATATACCCACCATTGAGTCACTTCGCTGTGCATGTATCTTTGTGACGCCAGAATTCAAAAGTCATACCGAGACACCTCCAAGCAACGTCATCAATCATTCCTAGACACAGCGGTAACACTCCCAAAGAACATGTGGCAACAACCCTCGCCAACAACCAATCATCTTGATATATCCGCACCCACAACCCTCTTTAATAACCCGAGCAACAATCTTAAGCAATGACCCCAAGCAATAAATCCGAACAATAACCGCGAGCCCATTGAACCTTCTTACAACACCAAAGACAGGCAGCCAATGCGTAGATTCTCACACGACACACAAAGATATAAGTTTTGGCAATGGTCTCACGTACTCTACTATGCCAATATCTGAGGTCCTGATTGTCCAGACAAGGCTATACATTACTCCACCCACCTCCAGTTTCATTGCTGTCAGCTCAGCAACGACATAGCTCTGATGCGATCAATATGCGGAGGATTTTAATTGGTGGAGCTCGAATGCGCAGGACGTAAAGTGTACTGAACACCCAGCACTCAATAAACACACCACAGATGATTTTCCACGAGGCTCAGCAGTTTGCATGCAAGTTCATCATAATTGCACTACAGTCTCAATGTCCAAGAAAACCATCTACAGCTTACTAGCCTCCCCACTCGTCCTGTTAAGGTACAAAGGATCCCTCGGCTCAATCCCATACTGCCTACACAGCTCCTCGCCCTTCTTCTGCTGCGCCTCAATCCTAGCCTTATGCGCAAGACCCCTCTTATTCTCATTCTTACCCAGCTGCAGCAGATGCACCTCATCCGGCCCATCTACAATCCTCATCGTGCGGCCACTTGACCACATCTGCGCGAGCGGCGTATCTTGACTCACACCCGCACCGCCGTAGGCCTGCATAGCCCAGTCGATGACCTTGAGGTTGACTTCAGGGACGAGCACCTTGACTTCGGCGATTTCCTTGAGCGCGCCCTTGGCGTTTGTTTCGTCGATCTTGATGGCGGCGTTAAGGACGGAGAGGCGGGCTGCGTCGATTTCGATACGGGAGCGCGCGACGCGCTCGAGCATGATGCCGTGTTTGTTGAGGAGCTCGCCAAACGGCTTCTTGCGCTCGTCATTGATGCGGGCGAGGAACCATTCTAGCGCCTTCTCGGCGGAACCGATGCTGCGCATAGCGTGGTGGATACGTCCGGGTCCGAGACGGCCCTGGATGATTTCGAAGCCGCGGCCTTCGCCGAGCACCATGTTGCTGGCGGGGACGCGGACGTTCTCGAACGTCACGTGGCCGTGGCCGTGGGGTGCGTCGTCGAAACCCATGACTGATAGCATGCGGTGGACGGTTACACCCGGGGTGGTGTTGGGGACGAGGATGACGGATTGTTGCTTGTACTTGTCGGAGTTGTTGGGGTCGGTCTTTCCGAGGACGATGAAGATCTTGCAGCGAGGGTCGCCAATGCCGGATGACCACCATTTCTAGGGTGATGTTAGTAAGGCGACGAGTGAGGGTAAGATTGAGGTTGACGTACCTGACCGTTCAGGACGTAATGGTCACCATCCTTCTTGATAGTCATCTCAATGTTGGTAGCATCACTCGACGCAACCTGAGGCTCCGTCATCAAGAACGCAGAGCGAATCTCGCCCTTCAGCAGCGGGTCCAGCCACTGCCTCTTCTGTGCCTCAGTACCGTACTTGGCAATGACCTCCATGTTGCCAGTATCAGGAGCAGCGCAGTTGACAGCCTCGGAGGCTGTCCGGCTCTTGCCCAGGTACTCAGCCATGAGGCCGTACTCCAGGTTGCTGAAGCCAGCACCCTCCTTGAAGTGTGCCTTGGGCAGGAACATGTTCCATAGTCCAAGCTCTTGTGCCCTCTTCTTCAGGTCCTCGATGATGGATGGATGTGACGAGAAGCGCTCTTGGACGGTCTGGCCGATCTGGCGCACGTATACGGCGTCGGCGGGGATGCACTCTTCTTCGACGAATTTCTCTACCTATGGACATGTTAGCATGTACTCGTACAGAGCTTGCCAAGTCGCCTACAAGGTCGAGTGTCTTCGCCGCCCTCTCACTGACGAAAGGCCGCGCGATGACGGGAATGCGCTGTGAGGCGGAGATATGGCCATCCTTGCTGTTGCTAAGCAGATCGTAGGCGCGGTCGTACGGTACAGACATGATTGCGTGCTGTGGAGAGAGGATGAGGTAGGGAAGAAGGGTTCAGGGAGGAAATCCGGGGTAGTTTAACAAAACATGCGGAGACGACTCGTCCGTGGCTACTGCTTCGGTCATTGATGTTGGGAGCTAAGAGTTGCCGAGGTACGCCATGCACCACCTCCGCTTTGGACCTCGTAACTTGGCTGTCTCACACCACGCAGACGTGATGCCAGGGTGTCCGATGGCAAACGTATCTTAGGGAAGGGTATCGTTGGCCGAGGCATTGATGATAGTCATGTCGTTGTAGACGCTGCGGTTGTAGTTGGCGATAGCTGCAGTGGACGCGACGCCGCCGTTACGCGTGGCGCACAGTCCAACCTCCGCAAGAGGCTATGGAATCGCCAACGTGGTTATTGGAATTCATACAGGCCATCTCAGCACTCATACAATGGTCGCTAGAAGATTGATTGAATTATTGACTCTATGACCTTAATACGAGTATGCATTGACTAGGTGACTCGTCGTGCTTCAGCAGCTACCTAGGTACAAGCCTACTAGTCGAACACCTACCATAAATCCGCCCAGCAGCCACATCTCCAATCCATGATCGTCAGCAATGACATCGCAGCCAGCCCTCCCCCGCGAGCTCATCGACCAAATCATCACAACCCTCATCTCCCTCCATTCCCACGACCCAGCCTACCAATGGACAAACCTACGCTACATAACCCGCCACCACAAAGCGCACCTCGAGCAACACTTCCTCGCCCACTGGGTCCCCAAGCTAACATTCGAAATCCCACATGACTATGGCTCATGCCCACTCGTGAACTTCACAGCCCCCACACCACCTCGCACCCTCCAGAAAGATGAATCAAGGAACAACGGTGCAGAGATCGTGGTATTTACTGAACGTACCGGTCTCCGTCTCACCGACATGCCCAACCGCTGGTACGAACACGCCACAGGAAACATCAAAAGACATCCCTGGGAGCAATTCGATTCCAACATCATCGTGCACTTCGGTAACCGGACGTTGAACAAAGGCTACTCAAAAGGCGGTATAAGGAGCGACGTCGTCATCCCCAATCTATGCATCAATACAGATGCCTCGCCGTGGGAATTTTCTTTCGCGTGGAAAGAACTCTTCACCAGGCTCTTTACTGAGGAAATGGTGATGCGGACATTCCGGGACAAGCTCCTGGGATGGTTTGTACCTACTTTGGGAGGAGATGTAGAGCCCAGGGTGGAGATGGCAGCTATATACCATTACTTGCGTAAACACTTTCACTGGCAGCGGAGGGGTGTGTTGGCGGCGTATCGGAAGTATAGACATCCACTGCTGTGGGATGAAGAATACTGTCGACGTCGTTATCGCGAACAACATATTGAGGGTCGCTGCTACAAAGCGTGTTCCTCCAAAGGTCCCTTTGACCTCTCACGTTTCGTTCAACAAGGCAGAGAGGAGCTTAGTTTAACTCTTTCCAACGAACACCATATCCTCGAGGACGAGGAGAGCATGGTGTTTCAAGTCCCTGGTTGGGAGACGTGGAACGTAGGGGATGTAGGACGCATGCGTGTTTATGAAGAGATGGTCGAGGAACGGCAGTTGACGGATATGTGGTTTGGACACCATGATGTTCAGTTGGAGGACTATTGGGAGTCTTATTATAAGGGCTTACTGCAGGTTATGGAGGGAAGGAGAACTATCAGTGATGAGGTGCTCGAGGGGGGTTTGAGAGCCGAGAAGCTGGATCCAGAGGAGTTCTGGATTTCAAGACCAGCCAATGAACGGTTTCCATACCAGTAGTGAAGGGGTTCCGGGAGTCCTTTGTGGTTCTTCCCACGCTGTCTTATCTATGTTACGATGTACTTTGGTTGAGGTTTGAGTGAATGCTGACATTCCATCGGAAATTCTCAGAAGATCACGACTTGAAGTGTAACCTGGCCCAATGAATTTTGATAGTCAGCAGTCACTAGTCGTTGGGTCGGAGAGAAACGTGAGCGACTCTATTCTGATTCCACGTCGCAGTTTTGAGATGTAGCTGAAGTCGGATATACGTTGTATAACTCTCACAGCAACGTAGTAGTGAAATGTGAAGGGTGCTACCTCGTACAGCTTGTGATGAGGATAGACCTGTAACGGTGACATAAATCGCAAGGCTATAACGTTGCTCGGTCCTCGTTGCTGGGCTTCAATTCCGGAAGGGTTGCTTGTCGCAGACCGGATCAAACGGGTATGTTGTAGGAAACGAGTAAAACGTATTGTGTAACTGTTCTTAGTGCCAAGACACCAGATCATGGGTCGATTGATGCAATAGCAGTGCCAGTAGCCTGGTAAAATATTGTTAAAATTTGGAAGATGAGGGTTACACTTTTGTCGGTGAGCGCGGATGTGTACCCGCGGAATGCTTCCTACAACGACCAAAAGGTGTCTGAGAAGGTCGTCCCGCCTGCTTGTGGCGTACACGGACACCAGATAGAGCCAATAATAGTCTTGGGCGTACGAGTTCACTGACAGAATGGTATCATCCGCCCGGGCAGCTGCGTGTCGCTATTCTGGTGAAGAACCGGATGAATGCATGAGATGTGTGCGCTCAACCGTGACGATGTAACCACGATGTTGAGTGGGCTGCTACGGATCCGACATGACAGCTGCAGACGAGCGTGGCGAGGTCTCCGGCCGATGTCGGTAGCCGAATACAGTTCGTGGTACAACCATCGTGCATACTTCGTTGTCTTCATTTAAAATAGATGCTCATCCTGTACCGCATGGTTGCGCGCTATCAGCGATGAAAATCTCCGAATGTTCAACCATATATGTGGACCGGCATAGTCCGATCGTCGGGTATGACAAGTTGGCCGGGTGTTCCATAAGGCTGAAGTCCATATGCGTGCTCTACTTGAAGTGGATTGGGGGTACATATCGTGGTTGCGCAGATCGTATCGTATCTAAGTCCGACTGCCTGACAAGTCCAGATGTCTAGGCCTGCGTATTCTTGTTCGTCGCTTTACATATAGACTCCCGCCACCAGATCTGAGACAGAGCGGGAGGCTTCGTCACACAGTGTCGCTGTGGAGCGATGTGGTGCTTCATGGGCTTGATCTACGATCCCTCGGGACCTGTAATCTATTTTCATGTTAGGGACAGTTCAGGTCGTAGTGAGCTTGAGCAAACGTCAAGTGACGGATTCAGAGAGAGTGTGCTTGCGCTCAGCTCGGGCTCGAAGAGAACCTGGACTGTTGGTGAGTGGAACGGGTGAGGATGGGTAGTAATGACGGCAATAGTGGGGCTCATCACACTGGTTTTGGCCATTCTCACGGTCGAGCGGTCGTCTGCAGCGGCTGGGAATATCGCCGTCAAGAGCCCTTAAGTCACATGACCAAAGCCAATAGGGTGGGTCGGATTTCCGAACGGCATGCTCACTGCATGTTGACGTATGAGCGGCAGTCGGGCATCGATAGTGTAGCTCGACTAGCCTACCCACACAGCAAGCGCCAAATGCAAAATCTGTAGGAATTGTTTCAGCCCGATCTATCTCAGTAGCCTGCAGATGGACTTGTACGTGATGTCCATCGTCGTTCGAGGCATGGCTGCTGGCGGCGCCTGGAACATGTTGCGCGCGCGATTTGCACGTGCCTTGCAGCACCAAGTGCGGGAAAGGCGAAGAGGGGAACACAAGCGTCATGAATAGTTTGCAACGATGTCGGTTGCTGCAAGTGCGGCCGATTCGGGTTTAAAGGTGCGCGTGTGTAACCCGCACCGAGCAGTGGTTCACACCGGCCAGTGGGCCCTGGACATCCGAGAGCAGCGGTGTCGTTGACTTGATGCGCATCCGCTTGGTGCAGCTGGCTGCCGGTCAAGATGGAAGCGTGCACAAACGGTGGAGTGGCATTTCACGAGACCAGAAGGGAATAGTGAGTCGCTGGGCTGGGCGGCTGTGAAAGGATATGCACCACAATAACACGCCACGCCTCTGGGTCGCCCGGGCATTCGGCTGTAGACGAAGAGGGGGGCGCCAGGACCAGGGCGCGAGAGAACATCAGCTGCCCTCCAAGTGGAGCTACAGGCCACGAGGGCGTGGCCGGGGCCTCGAGCAGAATGACGATGCAGCAGGACGAGGCGACAGGGCGGCGTGCAGGGGGATTTGGTTTTGCAGCAGGCCGCAAGGGTGCGGCCAGAGTTTGGAAAAAGCCATATTGTTGAGTCGGATATCAGCTTCTTCAACGCCAGTCGGAAGACTTTTCTGCGGCTACCGACCCCTGTACTCTCGCGAGTGTCCTGGTACGTCGTCGACACGAAAGTGCGGCGGCGGCGGCTTTGATTGACGGGCGGTGGTGCAAACAAAGACAAGGTTGTGGTTGCTCGAACAGCGCGGTGCATGAAATTGCTGCCGCGGGCGCTCAGACGTCCGCAGCATGGAATTGGCTGACGGAGTCGAGCATTCGCACAGTGTTGAGCGACGCTCGCTAAAGGCAGGGCCCTGGAGAGGAAAGAGGGTCTTGCTCAGGCCATGGTAACGGCGGCGATGGACTGGCAACGTCTCAATGGGAACGGTCGTCGCATGTCAAACGCAGCATAGCAGCTACTCACTGCCTGCTAGAGCCGCGCAGCCTATCGCCGGGCAGGTATTCACAGCTCGTACGGCCAGGTTAGTATAAGCACAGCAAGGCCCGGCCATGATTGGAGTGCGTCTCAGCCACGCGCCAGCGAGCAAGTGGGTGCAGCTCATTTCAGGCGGCATGACGGCGTGCTGGGAAGAAATCTGATGCCTCACGTGCAGGCCGGCGTCCGCAGCTGCAGACGCAATGGTCATGTTGAATGTTGGCGATGTCGTATGTGAGGCCGCTGGCGACGGCTGGCAGAGCACACTCACTGTCGTGTGCTGACGTCTGTTTCAAGCAGGCGCGCTCGCATGCTCCTGCCGCCGCCAGAGCAGCCCTGTGTATTACATTACTATAAGGCTCCACGAGAAGCTATCATCTGCATCCCATCCCCCCGTTTCCTGCAGGTCCGTGAT